AGAGTGTCTTCTAAATAGCTGTCTCCGAATGCTTTACCTTCTCTTTGTTCTTTTTTCAGTTTTACTGTACATTTGACATCGACTTTAAAATGTATATAATTTTTCACATTGGAGAATGAAAATAATTTAAAATATTGTTTCAAAAGGGTGTTGTAAAGAAACGAGAATTAAGGTGGTAAGAGAGCACCCAAGGGCGTATGGGCTGGAGACACACGCCAAAGACAGATGGCTGCTTCCCGCTTTGTCACTGCCGCCCGTTTGATGGGCTAGGGCTCCAGACAAAAATAGTGTCTCCAGCCCGGTGGGGGTCTTTCACTCCTGAAAGAATGCAGTGTATATAGTTTAAACTCTTGAGCAGTAGAATTTATTAATAAATTTTATTTCCTGCAGGTGTAGTGTGAATTTAGATTTTTATTGGTTTTCAGAGTTTATATTACATTGACAGTCCCCTGAGGGAAAGATACAATGTATCTCAGTTTTTCTCAAAGTATACAGTTTAGAAAGTCCAAGTAAAAAGCTTGAGGTAATTGTGTTCTAATTGTTTAGAAAGGACGTTACTAAATACTGTTTAAGTTTATGTATCAGATACCACATCAGATCTTGTTGAAGGGCTTCAAGGAAATTATCGAATACAATGTGGTCATCTTATTTAAAATGCATTTAAATGTATGAATAGACCCAGAAGCAAGTAACCTAGCAAGGTATCTGCTTTGGGCCCAATAGCCTTGCAGGAGTTAAAAGTAAAATTTATCAGACATCAATAGTTTATTGAAGAAATACTCCCTTTTGCTTCATAATTTGCAGAAGGCTGCAACTGTCAGTCATGATGTACTGCCTCTTGAAATTAGTCAATAGAGCAAACAGCAAGAATTGCTGTGGGCAGAAAATAAGCACTGTAATCATGACATAACTGGGGTCAGTGATTTATGGATTTCAATATAGTCGTAGCTGCATATGATTGAAAATTTACTAGGTCACTAGTGCACCAAAAATTTTATTCACAGCCTCCAGGCATCTTTTGAAATGTGCAACAAAATAAAAACCTCTGAACCGGTTTTGATACTGCAGACTCAGTGGATGACATGCCAGCCCAGTGAGTCTCATTTAAATGTAAATGTGTCATAAACTTTTGTGCCATATACTCTTTAAAAAACATCAGCTACTTGAAGGGATAATGCGTGTGAAACTGATTTACATATTGAAGTAGTGAAAAAGGATCTTTTTATAATCACGCTTAAATTCTTTTATTTTAAAGTTGGAAGCTGAAGCTGTTCCTGAAGTGTCTGAAAAATACGAAATTAGCTCTGTTCCCACCTTTCTGTTTTTCAAGGTAAGAATACGATGGCAGAAGAGGTCGTCTGTGTGCAGTGGGGGCCGCGGGCTGTCTGTGCTGTTCCTTTGCCCCCTCCCCCGCTCCCTGAACATTAAGCATTTGCTTGCTCCTGGCTTTGCCCTTTCTTCTTGTAGTCTCATCGTTTGCTTGCCCTTAGGGGTCCTGGAAGAGGGGCATGGACTGTGGAGGTCCAGCCACCAGGATTGGAGAAAATTCTAGATACGTGGTTGTAAACCCAGAATGTTCCCTGAGTTGGGTCAGAAGTTGGTTGTTTGGGGTATGTGCCTGGACGTAATGAAACATCTGGCTGGTTCTGGTTTGATTAATGACTCCTTTAGGAAGTGGGTGCAAATCAGTGCTTCAGGGTACCGCTGGGTGTTAGCATGGTCCCCCAGGGACCTCATTTATACTTAAGAGTAGATTTGATCCTAGCGAGGGTGGGGAAATCCTTTCTGACCTGGTTTGAGAGGTAGTGCCGCTTTCCTAGTATGTTCCTAAAAAGGAAAAAAGAAAACAATTATTTATTTCTAAAATTGAGATGCATAGCAGGTAATCTGTAATCAGAGTTTTAAAAAACTTTTCCAGTGATAATGTTGACCTCTTTAAAAACTGGCTAGAGCTATGGATTTGTGCTTGTTGTAGTTTTAGAGCCTAAAATATAGAGATGTTGAAGAAATGCACACATACTCTAAATGACTTTTTTAACTTTAGAATTCTCAGAAAATGGACCGATTAGATGGTGCCCACGCCCCAGAGTTGACTAAAAAGGTTCAGCGACATGCGTCTAGCGGCTCCTTCCCACCCAGTGGTAATGAGCACCCAAAGGAAGACCTCAGCCTTCGCCTGAAGAAGTTAACGCATGCTGCCCGCTGCATGCTGTTCATGAAGGGAACGCCTCAGGAGCCGCGCTGCGGTAAGGGACTGCTCAGAGGATACTCACCGGGAGGGTTGCTGTTGAGGCGACGCGCTCTGTGCAGGCTGCGCCATATATCTGATACTTGTGTTCAGACACCCTTAGAAGAGGGGGAAACGTTATAACTCCCAGGAGATTCTATAATTAGGTGTGAGAACTCGTTTGCAATGTAGACTCGGAGAATGTTGGAACCAAAAGGCATCTTGGAAATCATCTGATTCAAAATCTTTGTTGTCTACTACCTAAGTCCCAGTGAAGGTGACTTGCTCGGGTCACTGGGTAGCAGAGTTGGGATTAGGTTCCGGCTGCCAGACTGCTGCTTCCATTAATGGGCTTTTGGGCTGTTCAGTTAATTTTGCTCTTAACACTTACCTCTCTTTCTTGGCAGCCTCCTTTTATTCACATAGTCCAGATTCAGCAGTTTGAAAATGTACAGAATTGCAGTAGTGTTCCTGTGTCTACCTGGTGTACTTCTGTCTTCCCTCTTGTCTCTCAACGTCTCATGACTGTATTATTCACCACTGATGTCAATTCCAATTTGTAGCTGCTCATAATTTAAAGATTCCCACTTCTGTGCCTTATAGTCACTCTTATTGTCTTACCACAGGTATGCTTGGAATTTTGTCCTTGAGTAAGTCTCAGAGTTATTTGGCCCCTCTGGTATTGGGGTTACGTTGTTTTCTTTTTACTGTGCCTTGTACAACATTATTATGCTGCATAATGGAGCATTTAATGCCTTTTGGTGATGCATGTTTGTTTCAACTGCACAGGAGGGATTTATTAAGATAGGTGGCAGGAAAGTTGAGTGTGTTATTGATGTGATTACTGCATGTCCAGTGTGACTTTATAATATAGCCAAGCTTCCAATATAAAGTTAATTGTAAATTCTTCCCTGTATAGTTAGCAAATTACATATTAAAGTATGAAAGAGTCTAGTTTTAAATGTAAAGTTTCATGAAGAATTCTATCTTAGGAAGATAAAGAAATGGTTCCTTTTTCTCTCAGTTATGCTTGAAAACTTTCCTTGCCAGTATTTCCATGTCAGATGCCTGCTGTTCGTGTATTGAAAGGCTAACTTAGTCTATACTAGAGTTAACCAAAGATAGCAACAGATAGTCTCTGTGTTTTGGTTGTTCGTTTTTAATGGATGTTGCAGCTGGTTCAGTTTCTCCCATCAGGCATGAAAATCACTTCTGGTACTTTATGTGGTGACCTAATAACAGGGACTTAAATCAGTCCAGTGGATTTTATTTAATACCTTCATTGAAGCCTGAAGTGCTATAGAGCTGGTTGTAAGATGCGGAGGAACCGGTGGGACAGGTTGTACACAGGAAGCCTGCAGTAAAACCAGTAGGGTGTTATGTCCTTTGGGAATGAGCAGTCGTGTTCTCTTAATCGTTTCTGAATAATAACCTAATGAAATTGGCAGGTGGTAAAAACTGAAGCTTAGGGAAGGTATTCTGAGTCAGCAGAGGGGAAGGTGATAGATATACTGGAAAGCCTCGCAGACTAGATGTCACGGCAGGTGAGCTGCAGTCCTAACTGCCCCTGTGCCTGCCACCTGCCTTGATAACTTGAGGTACAAATCAGTTACCTTCCGTGTGACTTCACTTCTTCTTTGGTGGTGTTGGGCGTTGGAGCCAGTCTTGGAGAGCCTTTTCAATTCAGATGTTATATGATTATTCAAATAAATTAGAATTATACTTAGGAATAATCATTTTTCTGCTTACCTTTTACTTCATTAGACTGGATTTATGATGTATTTCTAGCCATTTTTATATTAACCGTCTGAGTGGCATTTGGAAGACTGTACAAATAACGAGGTAGAATAAAAAAGAAACTTTGAAACATTTCAGAGCAATAGGAAAAAACGCTGTATTATAGACATTTAGATAAATACTTGGGGAATTAAAAAAATATTTTTAGATACATATTATAAACAGTTTCATTCCATACAAGTACTTATTTTATTGTTTATAATTTTTATAACTACACTTTAATAGGCTTTTCTGTTTCCCAGTATTTTGGTTTCTGTTACATCATGTCTTTCTATCACATATAGTAAATAGATTATTTTAGAGTTTTGGTATTCTTTGAAAAAACATCTACTTAAGGATTAATTGGGAGTCTTTTATTGTGACTGTGCCCTGCTGCTTCCTTCACTGATGCTGCTCTGATTCTGTTTGTCCTTTTCTGTGTGCACTGCTACACAAACAGTCTTTATCTTCAAACTGTTCTTTTACAGGAATGTACACGACTTTCACCCTCTTCCTTTCTGAGCCTGTTTAGTGGACAATTGTTTTTGCTTTTCTGGTGGTATGTTAGAGATGAGGCGTAGGCAAAGCCTCCTTTATAAAAGAATGGCCATCAGTGCTGAGCTCAAGTGGCTGGTATTTCCATATTTTGCACAGAATTCACTTTGAAAGCACTACCGTCAGTAACATGCATTACTCCCTTTGGATGCCCTTTGTGGAGTAGAGCTACACTTGACTTTTCATTAGTGGGCCCCCACCTTGCTTTCAGTTAATCAGGAAAACATGAATGAATAACATTTAAATTTTGCATCAAGGAGACCTTGAAAGCCGTTTCAGGGTCTGCCCTGGAATCTACTTGGACTCAGCCCAGCCCCTGCACATTACACATCTCTGTCTTCTCGACTTTCACTTTTGGGCTCTACCTAGAGAATGGTATGGTGTATTAGGAGCCTGACATGTTGATAGGGTCTCAGTCGTCAAAGAATTAGATTATCCTTATTCTGTGCTGCTCAGGAGGACAGGAAAGAGAGGGCTCTCATGTTTTAGGATGATTTTCAAGAAGAGCTGAGATGTACATCTTTTTAAACAGAATGATAAATCCTTCAACATGCAGGTTAATCAAGTTATTTGGGAATTCTTGTATCTATTTGTGCTAACAAAGCTTTTAGCAAAGCAAAAGGTGTTTGAAACACAGTGCAGAAATTTCTTCTGCAGTGAGAGTCATCTAACTGTTTTACTTTTTAAATCAGACACAAAAACATTGCAGGTTCCACAGTGTTCTTTAGGGTCTTGTTGTTGTTACGTAGTGGGACAGTTAGGCTCCTTATTCATGTCTTCCGTCATGAGCAGAAATGATTGTGGGTAGAAATGGTGGTTCTGGGACAGTTAAACGTGGTTTTTCTACTTTTAAATATTTTTATTGCATGCATGCATTTTTCCTAAAAAAAGTGGGAGTAAACATTTTGTTGTTAGAATAAAGCCTTCTCACTATTTTATCCTTAAGCATAACATTCCAGTCTGCCTCTTTAACCCTTAAAAATGAAACTCTACCAATCAATCTTTCTAGTCTGCATGTAATTGCCTAAAGCAAAAATAAAGCTTTTTCTTAGCCAGTTACAGTAGAAATGAGTTAATATATTGGCAACAGAATAACTATCAGCAATCAGCCGTTAGCTGTTTACTAATGAACTCCCAGATGAATGAAAAATTTCAGAATCAGTGTTTCACTTCAGGCTGTACATGAACTTAACACTTCAGTTGTAGGAAAAGCAACTTACGTGCTTTACAGATAAATACTGGCACTTCATTCATCTCAACGAACGGCAGATCTAAAACTGCCTGGAGCCAGTAATAGATCCATGTTTTAATAGTAAAAGTGCTTTTTGCATGACATCAGGTAAAGCCTATTCATACAATTAATTTTATACTGAATTTCATGGTTTGATTTTATTTAAAAATAATTGCAGATGCTGTTAAATCTTCCAGGAATTTTGAATCTGAAGGTTATTTTCCAGCGGATTACGACTGTTTGAAAAGAAGAATGATGGAATGTGAAAGAGTACAGAGTATTGAAAAACAATCGGGAAGAATTAGCTTATAGAAAGAAAAATAGTCTTTTCAGACAAGACTAATAGGTTTATAAAAGACTGATATTCACACTCTTATTCTTCAGTACTAATGTCATAATAAGAAAATGATGTCAAAAAAGTACAGAACAAAGAAAAAGTATAATAAAGTCATGGAACGTAAGATTGTCACTACAGTGAGGTTAAAAAAAAATCACATTACATACTTTGGGGAATATAAATAGTTTTAGAAAAGAAACTGTCAGGTTATGACACCAGATGAGAAAGAATACCAGCAGTCTGCTGACAGTTCGTATATAACAACAGAGAAGATAGCTTTGGAATTCAGTGTGCTGCTTTATCCAGTTTAGACGAAAAGAGAACACACTGCTGCTTGACTTTTAATTTATTCTGTTCAGGGATGTGATGAAAGTTGAGAACTGCTGAAACGGGCACACAGGAAGTAGTAAACGGGCAGTAGAAAGCAAACAGGGTTGGGTCTCCAAGTACGGTCAAGTGCTAGTTAAAAATAACAATTGTAGAGTTTCTTCCTCCACCCAGTGTTGATTCTCATAGATTCACAGAACAGCAGAGCTGGGAGGGACTGTCTGGGCCTCCACGTCAGTCCCCTCCCTGATTGATGGGAAAGTGCAGGGGGGCAGAGGTGGCTGTCCAGGCCTGAACTGTGCCTCCCCTTGGTGAATGGAGCCGGTGCTGGGGCTTGAGGTCTCTGCTTTTTGGCCAGTACTGTTTTTCCTACAACAAAAATACCTAATATTGAAGAGGAACTTCGATAAATAAACATACTTTGTTTTTGTTTGTTTGTTTAAACTCATGATACCTTAAAAAGTTAAGCCACACCTGAACATGTGATGTGGTTCAAGGTCAGAGAGGGGGTTCTTGGAGTTTGCTTCCTCATTACATACTATTCAGCCATGCTATTAAATCATTGGTAAAACAGAGGCAGACCTCTATGTCCAGTAGATAATATGTAATCTGAATTGATTTAAAATTGTGTGTATTTGAGAGAAATTAAGTTCTTGATGTTCTTTTTCTGTATGCAGGTTTCAGCAAGCAGGTGGTGGAAATTCTTAACAAGCATAATGTTCAGTTTAGCAGCTTCGATGTCCTCTCAGATGAAGAAGTTCGTCAGGGCCTCAAAACCTACTCCAACTGGCCCACCTACCCCCAGCTCTATGTTTCTGGAGAGCTCATAGGAGGACTTGATATAATTAAGGTTAGACTGGAGAAGACGAGACCTTGTAAAGAATTTTCGTACTTAAGCGTACCTTTATGAGTGCTGTGTTAAATCTAAAGCATACATTTCTTAAGGTTCTACCTTTATGAATATGAATCTGAAATAAATACAAAGTATTTCTGATGAGGTGATTCTTTAATATTTTATATTATGGCATGACCAAGGAGATTTATGTTATAATAAATGTTTCTTAAACTTACATGTATGTTTATTTTAGGAGCTAGAAGCATCTAAAGAACTAGATACAATTTGCCCCAAAGCCCCCAAGTTAGAGGAAAGGTAAGCGTTTTAAAAGTTTCAGTCTGCTATTATTTTAAAAACATTTTTAAATTTTCAGTTTTTGCATTACTCTTTCTATGTAGAAATCAGAGATTTGCTTTTGTGTGCCAAAGTCATAACTGTGTCATTTGCAAACTAGTCACGCAGACTTGGGAAGGTCTGATTTGGATTGGAGAAAATTCTGTACCAATTTAATGGTTATGTGGAGGCTAGTCTTTGTTTTATAGAAATGTTATTGTCACCATGGAACAACCAGATTTTAGTTCTCTCCATTTCGGAGCTGGGATCCAGTTGTCTTGGTGTTCAGGTTTTAGTAGCGGTTCCTGCTCACAGCCTAAAGCTGGCTTGCTTGTGTTTTCTTCTGTTGCTGTCACTATCCTGGTAGAACACTGTGAAAAATGGTTGAGTATGGAAAGCAGATGCTGTGCATGGAGTTCGTGTATAAACACTTGGGGGATTTCTCACTGCCTTTTGAAGAACTGTGGTAATTAAAAAATTCGAGGAGATTTTAGAGCTGTAAAATCTCTTAGTTTTATGAAGGATCTCAATCTGCTTTCAGAGACTTTATCTTACAGAAAGTTTGGGCTTTGGCCAGTAGGAAGACTTAAAGTTAGGATTTTAAATGTAATAAATACTAATTAACGTAGAGGATTAAAAAGCAATTTATTTTGAAACACAGCATATCAGCCACTCCGAGTCGGGGCTTGACTTTGTAAGGTGAAACTTCCTGTTGTAATTTTCGTATCATTTAACATTTTGAGATTTTCTAAGAGCGTTTAATAATAAACACCCGCATTTGTTTGTTTCTGATTCACGAAGTAGTCCTCATAGTTGGCGTATATGTCGAGCTGCCCTGTAAGTGCCGCATTGTCTCACATGATTGGCGCCTTTACTGCCTTGTGGGTACAAAGTGCTGCCCCTGGGTCCTTTGATGCTCTGGTGTCTCCAGTTGGGTTTCTGCTGTGCGGCCTGGCGGCCATGGAGGCTGTGTGGCCTCAGAAGACTGCTGTGCTTTTTCTAGTTTCTTTTTACAGATACACTTGTATTTGCTTTCTGTTTATTTTCCTCTGTGTTGAATACACTTGTGCTGTTGTTTTTGTCCCTGTCTTCATCAGACCTTCTCTCTCTTTTCCTGATGTGCTGCATTTGTATCTCCTGTGGTTTCAGACACCAGAAGATAACTGGCTAGAATTACATAGAAAGTAATATCCAGTATATTTTGAGTAAAAATTTAAAGGGCTCCTGGAAAGCAGAGTGCAGGAGCCTGAGTTCCTGGGCTTGGCCATGTGTCTGTGGGTGGGACAGAGGGGCCTGTTTGGTTCCCTGGATCCCGGTAGTTGGGTCTCCAGGTGCGTGATTGGGGTCTTTCTGAGAATTAGCTGATTGTGCCACATGAGCGTGTATGTGACGTAGCTTTGTGCATGGTTGGTGTGTCTCGTTTGTGGCTCCTGTTTTCTCTGAGGAGATTCGGAGCCGTGAATGGCCCAGAGCACGTGGCAGGAGAGCACGGCGCTGTGAGCACCGCTGTCCGCTGGGGCCCAGCGGCCCCTTAGCCGCCCGCTGTCCTGCCGCGCTGCGGGCTGTTGCTGAGAGTGGTTACTGGGCTGCAGGCCGCATTCCTGACAGCAGTTAGATCATGAGGTTTGAAAGATGGCATGAAGTACCAAACATGAAGTCAAGACGAGAGCATTTGATCTCAGCAGCGGGCGTTGGTTGCGGCTCCAAGATTTAGCGCTTCTCCCCCCGGCTGGGACCTTGTGGGCGTGAAGAGTGTAGAGCCACGCGGGCCTCATGATGGGAAAGGGACACACACGTCTAGTTCTGGAAATTCTGGGTGTGCTCAGTCTGTAGGTCCCTTACTGAACAATTCCTTACTGAGTTGGTTATTATTATTTTTTTAGTTCTGTGAGCTGATGGGCTTAAATTGCAACTTGAAGGCACACTCATTGCCCTGAAAAGCCATATTGTGTTTTACAGTGGCTCAGGGAGACAGTGAAATAAAGGAAAATGTCAGTGCATTTGCTTGTTTAATGCCACTCAAAGCTGTGGACTCTCATCCTGCTGTCCCTCAAAGATGTACGCTGCTCATGAAGCGGAGTGAAAGTGGTGTTTAATAATTTAGCTGAGCCGTTTTATATCAATTTTCTCTCTTCAGGCTCAAAGTACTGACAAATAAAGCTTCTGTGATGCTCTTTATGAAAGGAAACAAACAGGTAAAGAACTCAAAAATGGTTTTATTTTTAATTTCTTTTGATGTTACCTGCAGCGAGGGGACACTTAAATCTTTTTTTCCTGGCTTTAGCTAATGAAGCTGCAGTGGTAGCAGGAAGTTATCCAGGCCTCAGTTGGTGCTTATGGAGATCAAACAAAGTGATCTACATTTTGCTTGACTTTATCATCAAATCTCAGTGGGGTGCATTTCTTCCTGCTGCCAAACTTTGTCAGCTAACGTGGTCAGCACTGTTAACACTGGACTGGTTCTGTTAGCTGCTGTTGACTCCTGGAGTGTGCAGTTTGGTTCTCTACTTCCCGAGTTATACCTTTTTTTTTTTTCTTCTTGGTGGTTATTTCAAGCAGATTTTTATCCTTTTTTTCCTGGAAGCCCAGGAAGTATGCATAAATTCTGGGAACAGAATCATTAGTGCAGTTAAGGTGTTTATGTGGTGCCAGGTCTTTCCCAAAGGATTGGGAATTGGAATCCTGGGGCGTGAAAAAAACTGTAAGATTTTTCCATAACCTCAGAAAAGTTTGGTGCTCTATAGTGTAAAGGTAGATTTAAAAAGTGGGAGGGCTTCCCTGGTGGCGCAGTGCTTGAGAGTCCGCCTGCCGATGCAGGAGACGCGGGTTCGTGCCCCGTTTCGGGAAGATCCCACATGCCGCGGAGCGGCTGGGCCCGTGAGCCATGGCCACTGAGCCTGCGCGTCCGGAGCCTGTGCTCCGCAAATGGGAGAGGCCACAACAGTGAGAGGCCCGCATAACGCAAGAAAAAAAAAAAAAAAAAAAGTGGGAGTAGAAGTCCAGTTGGGAGTAGGAAAACAACGACCCTAATCATTGCAGAAAGGTGGAGTTGAGGCCGTCTGCGTGAAATAGAGAAGGGGCAGCAGAAGCCTCAGGGTTTAACTCAGGACCTTTCTGACCACAAAGGTTATAATGTTAGAGCGCGGGTCATCTCCAGTGGTTACAAACCGAGGTAAGTCTAGGGGCCGTGCGTCTCGGACGACGTCTGGCTGGGTCAGTCCTGAAGGTGCAGGTCTCATTCCTCTGACGGCTCTTGATGTGAAGAGGCCCCGGGAGGTGGCTGCCTTCTGCAGGTGCTGTCCCCCTTGACAGAGCATTAGATGCAGCCATGCTAATGGGCTGTGTGGGAAATGCAGTGCACCCTAAAATTGTTTTTTTTCTAAATTTAGGAAGCTAAGTGTGGCTTCAGCAGACAGATTCTGGAAATACTAAATAGTACTGGGTAAGTAAATCTTGTTTTCAAATGGTATATTTTAAGAAATTCTAACTTTTCAGTTCTGCCACTGATGCTTAAGTTGTTATATCTGTTCATATATTTTTATTTCTTTATTTTTGCTCTAACGTTTTGCAAATGCTTTAGCTTAGACCACAGTAGAATTTTCTGGCCAGTGTCCAACCTATCGGTAACATACAGGAGGTATTCTGGCAGTCATCAGAATAACTCTTTGTCTCCTTTTTTTTCCCCCAGAGGAAAGTTGATAACTGAGTTCTTACCATGCATAAAGATATTTTAGGGAAAGTGTATTATAGGTTTTTAATTTTCTTTAAAAAAATATTCTAGTTTCCAAATAGTTCATGAAACTGACAGGATACATATTGAGATCCATTGTCTGGATCTGAGAAATAGGGTAAATTAAATTGCAGAGCTCATGCTTTTGCTCTCCTTAGTGATGGAGCTGCCAGGTAAGAAAATTGTAATTGAGTTTTGTGGTTAAAAACCAAACCACTTGGGACTTCCCTGGTGGCGCAGTGGTTAAGAATCCGCCTGCCAGTGCAGGGGACACGGGTTCGAGCCCTGGTCTGGGAAGGTATCACAGGCCACGGAGCAGCTAAGCCCATGAGCCACAACTACTGAGCCTGCGCTCTAGAGCCTGCCATGTGCCACAACTACTGAGCCCACGTGCCACAACTACTGAAGCCCACACGCCTAGAGCCTGTGCTCCGCAACGAAGAGTAGCCCCTGCTCGCTGCAGCTAGAGAAAGCCCGTGCGCAGCAACGAAGACCCAACGCAGCCAGAAATAAATTAATAAAATAAATAAATTTATTAAAAGATAAACGAAAACAAAGAAAACACCAAACCACTTGTTTGGAGATACTTAGCACATGTTCTATGGGGATGTCAAATGTTTCTGCTTATCTTTCTTCCTTATTATTTCTCACTTGCTTCTTTTCAATATTGTAAGGATTCTAACCATAGCTTTTTTTTTTTTTTTTTTTTTTTT